AAAAAATAATAATGTTTTATTAAAATTACAGTAGACTTTATTAACACATTTTCTGTTTAAAATGTGTGAAATCAAGAACTTATTTATATGCTTTGTTTAATTATTAATTGTGATTCAATTTTATGAATAAATTATTTCAATGAATAGTCAGTTTAGGTTAGAGTTGTTTAACGAATTCTCACGAAATCTACATTAATGTGAGAATTGTTTACCACTTGCTTATAGATTGAGCCAATATTAGGTAATATATTTATACTACTAACTTTATTATATTTTTATTTGTATATACAGATTGCTTAAGGACCCAGATTATGTATTAGCAAATTCTTTGCCAATATAAAGTAAGCTCTAATACTGTATATGAATATAGCCCGAATGGCAATTCATATTTAGTGTGAGCAATTTTGCTATAATTTAAAGTAAACAAATTTGTGAATTTTATTTTTGTCAAAATCTTTTTAATGAGCTCATAAAGACTATTCTAAATATTTATAATTTTATTCCATTATTATTATTATATTATTATTATTATTATTATATTGAGTAGAATTTATGGAATAAGTTATGAGTATTAATACCCGAGAGATATAAAGAGAATTCTTAGAAGTGATGAAGAAATAAAAGAAGTATTGATCCAATTTGACACTCATGTGAACCTATAGTGAATGCAACCATTCCTCGAATTTGACACAAATTCTAATGAAATGATTATAATCTTGCATTTTAATAATTCATAATAACTAATTAGTAATAGTATTTAAAATAATTTTTATTACATTAATTATATTTTTCATATTTTCATAGATCAGTGGTAGTTATAGAAATTATATCATTTTGTTCAAAGTCTCTTATTATTTATATATATACAGTACTACACTAATGTTAAGCGTCAAATATTATAGAATACAATGATCAGAATACATTAAGAAACAGAAATTAAGGATGACAAAAATATTAATTATTTTTTTATATAAACATAGAAGGTGAATAGCTAACCTTACCTTACTCATAAAGTCATTATCGTATATTATTACAGTACTGAATTTACTATTTTTAATGGCTATTCAGTTAGGCTTATATTGCTAATCATAATTATATACTCTACAATATATGAGAATCGGAGTTTTATAGGAGCCTTTTCAAAAACGATATTCATTTAATCACATATTAAACAATGATAAATACTCTATTTATTTCTATGTATTTATGTGTGACACATTTAATATAGATATTCATATAGATTTTTGTAAAAGGCTACTATAAAACTCCGATTATCATATTTTGATATTAATAATGAACAATATTCTATAATAAATATAATTAACTGGTATTAAAATGATATTTACACGGATAAAATCCGTTTAATTAATTTGAGTTGTTTTAACCCTTGAAATGTATTTACTATACTTGAGTGCTGTTATTTAGATGACAAGTAAATTATAATGTTATGATAGCTATTACAAGGTTGATATATGTCCATTGCAGTGTGGTATAATTGAGAAAGGTCAAAACTAATATATTTTGTATATAAATCGTAAATAAACGTATCATGTATAGAATTTACATTTTCTAACAAATAAAGATTTTTGCTTGGTGTTTTGCTTTTAGGTTCGGTTTATGTATTTATTTTCGTCGCCTTCATCTGAATTATTGCTGGAATCGGTTGAAAAGGATCCGAGTTATCACAGTTCCGGCAAAATTACATTATTATGGCGACGGTTCCTCACCGCCAACGACCACAAAACGGCTCAAATCACGTGGAATCGTGTGGTTATACCGCTAACACATATTCAACACGAATACGAATTAATGTTTAGTTGGAGCCAAACATACCGGGGAAGCTCTGGTAGCACTCGAAACAAGCAAATCATAGCATTAGATAACATCAGTCTCTCTAAAGAATGCTTTGGAATCGGTATTAACGCATAAATCTATTGATTTTCTCATGACTTTTATCTATAACCCAGGAATGCCAGCCCCTCCGCATCGACCGCTTCCCGACACAACGGCCTCATTGCATATCGATATTCCTACGAATACGTCACTCACCAGTAAATGACAATATTTTAAGACGAGTTTATATTTGATTTAATTTGTATTTTATTTAATTTCATTTAAAGGCTATCGATTGACTCCGTGCGGTGCTGTGGGTCGTGTGGGTCCTACTTATAGACAATGCGAACACTTTTATTTAAATAGCAATACCAGAGCCGCAGTCATCGATACCTCTTCTATCATTGTAAACGGCACTCAAATGTGGACAGTCCCTCAAACGGG